ACTGCACTTACTTGTGCTTATCTTTGCTGCATATTTAAATATCTACTTAGGAAAATATGCAATGTAAGCTTAAATACACAGATTGAGCATCACACACAGGTATCACCCACATTTACACACACACAGCTCTGACTGCAGACGGGGATATTGAAACTGGACCCCCCCAGGTACAAACCCTGACGTCCACAGGAAGCAAAAGCCATCCAGAGATGTGTACAGAGCCACCCCAAAAAAACCAGTGCTCTGCTTTAGGGAACTTCAGTCACCTTTGGTTGACTTAAATACAGTAAAAAAACAAACCCAAGCAACAAAAACTCCAGTGGGAGCCACACGTTCCTCATTGGAGAATCCATCCTTTTTTCCGGGTGCAAATCCAGCCTCCAGCGTTCGAGTCCCGGTTGGTTTGGTCTCTGCTCTCAGCTCCACCACATCCCAAGGAAGTTCAGTGCCTGGAATGCAAACTGCTCTCCAAAAGCCAGGCTGTGCACAGCAAACATCCCACTGCAATCCATGAAACTCCTCCATCCCTGGGGGTCTCAGGTGCTGATCCAGAGGTGTGGCAGCTCCCAGAGCCACTTCTCCCCTGCCTGCCTGGCAGGGCACTAATCCAGGATTAGCTTTGCATAACACCACCTCCAGTACACAAGTCAACACTTAGAGTGAAGCAGATGAATAATCCCCTTCCACCCTTGTGCAGGGGGGAATCCTTGGTAAGGAGGTTCCCCCACCCTGCAGAACAGCTCTAAAAATTCCCGTTTAAAAATCCAGCTGACTTGGGAGGATTGGCCACCCATGACATGGCAACTCAAGAGAGCAAACCTTTCCTGGTTTTAGGAATCACTCCCTGGTTTATCCAGGTCTAATTATACTTAAATCATCTTAGCACAAGGGGCTGGAGGAGGCACATCCAGCCAGCTCAGGGCTCCTGATCTGCTGTGCTGATTGATGCCTGTTAGAGTCACCAGTCCTGCACTAATTCCTCCCCCCAGGGATTAACTGGAGGGGGAGTCTGCCCCAAAATGGAGTCACCCTTCACTAACTGAGCCCATATTCCCAAATCGACACCCAATCCAGGAGAGCTCACCACAGGAAATTAAATTTCAGCTGCTGAACAAAACCTCACTTGCTGACTAAAAAAAAAAAGACACAGTCCATCCCTAAAAAATAAGTTTGCCAGCTCCATGGAGTAGTTACCAGCAAACACAAAAATAAACTATTTAAAAGAGAGAGAAAAACAACTGTGACCAGTTTTTGTAGGAGGGTGGCTTAGATCATTTGTTAGAGCTGTGCTCACACAAGACCTGCTTTGTGGGGCTGAACAAAGGGCCCACAATGCACCACTGGGCTCCAGTGCAGCCCAAAGCAGGAAGTCTGAAAAGACAATTATCGCCAGTCAGAAATGTGAATGGCTCAACAAGAAGGGTTTATGGGAACTGTGACTGGCACTTCTCAGCATAAGTGAGACAAAGCAAGGCAAGCTCTCGGAGCAGGAGGACACAACAAAATCGGGCACTGCAAGATCTGCTCTCTCTCTGCGATCAGGGACAGGGACAAAAGGCTCCTCTCTGAGGCTCTGGGCAGGCTGAGGAAGCACCCAAGTGTTGGGGGTACCTACAAAAAGGGAACAGGTTTGGATGAGGCACCTGGGTGCTTGCACTCTCACTTGGAGGAGCAGAAGGGGGACTCTTGCTCTGGATTAAGGATTTCAGAGGACTCTTCTCACAACAAGGAGGCTGTTTTAATGACCTCCCTGCTTCCCCAGACATTGTTGGAATCACTAATTCTTTTTGCCAAAGAGGTCCTGTGGCCCTGGCTCTCACCTCCACCACAGTTCCTGCTCTCACAGCTGGCACACCCAGAGCTTGGAGCATTTTGCTGCTGTTGGTCCCAGCCACCTCAGCATCACCCACTCCCAGCCTTGCGCCATTAAAAATGCTCCAATCCTGCTGCTTCTTTCTGCTCAGCTTTTCTGATAACCCTTCCCTCTTCTCTCTCCACATCACTGTTCTTCAGTCACAGAGGAACAAAGGATTAAACCCCAGCCTTTGCAGGTGGGAGAGGAGCTGCACTAAACCAGACCATACCTGTGCCAGGGGGTTGTTTCATCCATCAAATGCTCTACAGAGACACGATGCACTCAGGGAATAAGTTTGGAGAGCACTTTCCCTCCAAAGCCAAAGGCTTGCCTGGCCCATGAGAACATTTAGGTAAAGGATGGGATGGGTTTTGAAGTGAAACATTACCTGCCCTTCAGCTCTGTCCCTCTCCACTCCTTCCCCAGGATCCAGAGGCAGTGGAACAGCCACCTCCGTGCTCAGCTCTGCGGCTCTCGAGCCCAGAGAGGCTCCTCTTGCAGCCCTCCTGTCCCTGCAGAGCAAGATAACACTTGTCCATCATGTGACACAACTGGCACAGCCCCTCTCTTGGAGGTTAATAACTTTCCTCAAGGCAGCAGAAAATAGAAGAAGTAACTGCTTGGGTTTTTTTTCCCAGTCCTTTAATACCCCTGGGAAGCATTCAATTAAAATAAATTAGGGCACATCTCAAAGATGGCCCAAATCCCCACAGATTTGGCTATAATGGGTTATTTTGATAGGAGTGCATTTATTCCCATACTCAAACTGTTTTTCTAACTGAAATAGTTTAATCCCTCAAAGGGAAAGTAATTCAGTTAAAGACCACAGGTTTCCATTTTGTGGGTTATGCCTCTGTACACCAGACCTATTTTCCAATTCCTACCCAAATACCATTTCAAAAGAATCCTCTTACAATTTAGAGTTAAAATTTCCTTTTTTTTTTTTTCCCCCCATAAAAGACTTTGGGACACCCTTTAGGAAGGACTCATTTAATGTTGTTGTAACCTGAGTTTCAGGGATGCCACAGAATTTCTTTTGAGGTTACTAAAAGTTCTGTCCCTGCCATTAAGGCCACCTACATTAAACTGTCCTGGAAGACGGTAGGAAATTAAAAAATACACATTGTTTGGGTTTTTGTAGGGATCTCACTGTGTCCCAGCAGAAAACCTTCACCAAAAGTGATGGCTTGGGAAGACTGGAATGGGCAGAGAGAAAAGGCTTTGGAGAGAGAGGCCACAGAGCACTGGAAGACAGACTGGAACTTAATATTCAGGTGAGTAAACACAGTATAATTCACACCCTTAATTCCAGAGGGCTGATCAGACATCCATGCCCACACACCGCCCAGGTGTTTGGCTCAGCCCTCACATGCATCCTGAGCTCTGAAGGTGAAGTCAAGCTCTGTCCTGTCACCCTCCCTGTGCTTCCCAGGGCACCGAGGGAAGAGAGGTCACAGCTATTGCCAACATAGGCCTGCTAAAGTTGGACCAGGAGAGAACAAAGAGCTAAAACATAACTCCAGCCCTAAGAATCACCACCTGCCCCTTCCAGCCAGCGCAGATTTGGCAGCAACTTTGCCTTGATCCTCTTTTGAACGTGCTGGGAGACAGTTCCCTCCCAGGGGGCTGCCTGAGCCTGCCCAGCTGGGCATGGACAGAAGCACCTGGCAAAGCCCACGGAGCACAGTGCCCAAAGTGAGCTCCTGAGCCAACAAGTCCTGCTTTTCACTGACACCAACAGCCTCTAAGGGGAAGCAATTCCGATTTCACGCACTCCACCTGCCCTGGTGAGGACACTCTGCCCAGACGAGGCTCACTGAGGCAGGTTCTGAGCCCTGGGAGAGAGGAGAACGTTCTTTCCATCAGTTTAAACACACTGAACAACTGCCTGCCTCGCTAACAACATCCCGCTGCCTCCTGGGCTCCTCTGCTCAGGGCAGCTCCAGACCCAGCAAGGTCTGGGTAGTTCACCCTGGAACAGGGACACAAAAAGCTCAGTGTTGCAACAGCTTCAAGGCCGTGCCCTTTGTCCTCAGGGAACGGCAAAGTCCACCCAGCTCACACTTCCCCACAAGGATCAGAAGTTAAAGTTCCATCCTGCAGGTTCTCATCACCATACACCAGGAGCTGCACTTTTTTTTGCTTTAAACTCACTGTTTTTTTAAGAAATAAAAGACTTCCAGACACTCACTGATTACACAGACCATTCTGAGCAGAGGTGCAGTCAGAAACATTCATAAGATCATAGGAAAAAAGGCTTTAAGGTGGAAATAATGCAAACATTCCAGCTAAGAGACGTGTTCCCAGTGAACTCACCTTCCTCATTGCTGCCACCCACTTAAAAGGCACTGAGTCTCCTCCTCCCCTTCCCCACAGCAATTGCAGACACCCCTGATTTCAGCTGCTCAGTAGGACACGGAGCAAAGCTCAAATTACTCAGCAGAGCTCACCTCCCATTGCACAACTGGGTTTCCAAACCCTCCTCGGAAAACACGGGATGAAGCCATTACAGCTGTCACTTACCCAGTAAGGAATAAATAAGGAAGAACGGGTTGAAAGCAAGAGGACTGGGATAACGAAGCCTGTTTCAATCAGCCAATTAAAGCATTAAGGAGAGCTGATATATGTTATCATGAGGCAGGATGCTACAAAGCATGAAAGCCCCCAAAGAGGCGAGGAACCCAGCAGAAAAATCTTTAAAGAGCGGAATTCCTAATAGCAGTACCCCCAAATCGACCTGTCTGGCAGGTGAGACAATCTTAGAACAGCACCAAAATCCACAACACGGGTGCTCCAAGGAATGAGAGAGTAACATCACACTTTCTGCACCTCAACCCACATTCTCACCATTAACTAAACCAGGATACCCACTTGTTGGTAAGCACGGAGAGCAGAGACAACAAGGACAGCAGAGAGCCGGGAAGAAATGGATAACCAGGGGATAACCTGGATTCATTCACAGCACTTCGTAGACAAACAGCTGCTATCAAACACTTATCACCCCTTCCCTCGGGTCACCCGCATGACCTGCCAAACATCCAGGAGGCACAACTGGAACAAAAGCAGGAATCTTGCTGCTTTGTTATCTCCTGTAAACACCAGAGGACACTGGGCAGAGAGGACTGAAAAGCAGACAAACCAGCAAGGGGCTTAACCTCGGGTCAGGAGAAAAGAAACACGAAGAATGTCCACGGATTTGGGCCTCACCAGCCCGAAAACCACGAGCAGCCCATAGGATGGAGGACGCTGGCAGTGACAACACAGTAATTCCTGCTGGGCAGGCGGACAAAGCCCGTCGGTCCCGATCCCCTTCACCCAGCGGAGCGGGCCGAGTCCATCCCACACCCGCCGGCGTTCTGGGGGAGCAGAGCCGCTCTCACCCAGAGGGACGAGCTGGCAGCCCCTCATTTATCCACAGCAATTTATCCACAAAACCTGAACGCCGGCGAACAGCGACCTCCCCTCCTCACCCTCACCGCGCTCCCTCCCGCCCCCCGCTCCCCACACGCGGCTCCAGGGCCGGGTCCCTCCCATCCCCCGGTCTGTCCAACACCGCCCCGGCCGGTGCCGGGTCACGGTGCCCCGGGACCCTCCGGAGCCGCCCGGGCTGGAGTGTGCCCTGGCCGGGGTGGCCGCGGAGCCCCCCGTGCCGTGAGGGGACGGGCAGCGCCGGGCGGGTGCCGCGGAGGGGAGGGTGAGGCGCCCGCCAGCCCCGCACTCACCGCGCTCGGCGCCGGCAGCTCCTCAGGGCCCGGCACGACGCGGAACTGGGCCCGGCTGAACCCGCCCCGTCCCGCCCCTGCCTGCCGTCACTTCCCGAGCGCCGCTGCCCTGTCATCGCCGGCGGGAGCGGCGGAGCCGAGCGGCTGGGCGGGCGCGGCGGGTGAGCGGGGACCCCCATGGCCCCTCGTGGCCCCTCATGGCACCTCATTGCCCCTGATGGCCCGTCATAGCCCCTCATGGCCCCTTCATGCCTCCTCATGGCCCCTTCATGCCTCCTCATGGCCCCCTCATGCCCCTCTCATGGCCCCCTCATGCCTCCTCATGGCCGCTCATGCCCCCTCATGGCCCCTCATAGCCCCCTCATGGCCCCCTCATGGCTCTTCATAGCCCTCTCATAGCCCTCTCATAGCCCTCTCATGGCTCCTCATAGCCCCTCGCGGTCCCATCACGGCCCCCATGGCCCCTCGAGGGCCCGGCTCGGTGCGATCCCCTCCCGGTCTGTGCCCCGTTCCCCCCTCAGGCCCCAACGGCCGCGGGCCTGGCGTGGCCGGAGCTGCCGAGCTGGGGCTGGAGGCGGCCCCGCTCCGCTCCCCGGGGACCGGCACCGAACCGAATTGGAGCGTAAAACCCTGCACCGTTTTACCGCTTCTCTGCGCGTTTTTAGGTGTAGTTTTGGCGTGAGGGAAGGCGGAGAGAGCCGGGGTTGTTCAGCCCGCGGAAGGCTTTGGGGTGGCCTAATTGTGGCCTTCCAGTGCCTGAAGGGGACTTGGAGGAAAGATGGAGCATGGAGTGACAGGGCAAGGAATGGCTGCAAATTGAAAGAGAGATGGGATATTAGGATGAATTCTTGCCTGTGATGGAGGTGAGGCCCTGGCACAGGTTGCCCAGAGAAGCTGTGGCTGCCCCATCCCTGGAAGTGTCCGAGGCCAGGTTGGACGGAGGTCAGAGCAATCCGGGATAGTGGAAGGTGTCCCTGCCCATGGCAGGGGTGGAACTGGGTGATCTTCAAGGTCCTTCCCAACCCAAACCACTCTGTGAATCTATGCTAATTTGCCATTTGTTCTTAGCTCTGTTCCTGAGCTGACACCCATCACCAGTGAGGCGTCTGCAGGTAGAGACCTCCGGCTGGGGAGGGAGGAAAGGTGTCTCTGACCATCCTTTCCCAACGAGTGAAGCTGGAATCGCCCCTTTAGCATTTCTAACAACTGTTGTTCGTCTCCAGATAGCCAGGTGAGAGCTCGCCAAATGCTCAAGTAAATTCTCTTCTCCCCTTCCACAGCCAGTCCCCAGAACCCACCATGGACTTTCTCCCCAAGCTCCTTGGCGTCGTGGCTGGAGTGGCGTGCGGCCTGTGCCTGGGATGGGGCTTCCGTGGGAGGTTCCTGAGGAAGCGCAAGGCTGGAAAGGCTCCACCTGCCAACAACCTGGAGGGCGAGGCGGACGTCATGGCGGAGTCCGGGGAGTACAAGATGGTGCTGATCGTCCGCAACGACCTGAAGATGGGCAAGGGCAAAGTGGCGGCCCAGTGCGCCCACGCCGCCGTTTCTGCCTACAAGCAGGCGGAGAGAAGGAATCCCGAGCTCCTGAAGCAGTGGGAGTGCTGCGGGCAACCCAAAATAGTCCTCAAAGCTCCCGACGAGGAGGCTCTGGCCCAGCTTCTGGCTGAGGCGAAGCGCCTGGGACTGACTGTGAGTTTGATCCAGGATGCTGGGCTTACTCAGATAGCTCCAGGCTCCAGGACCGTCCTGGGGATCGGGCCAGGGCCAGCTGATGTCATAGATGAAGTCTCTGGTCACCTTAAACTCTTCTAAACTAGGACCACAAAAGTCGATCTATGTCAGTACTGAAGGGTTACGGTCCCAGTTTGGGCGTTTTTCCATGTGCTCTCCCAGTTCCAATAAAATAAGCAAGTTTTTGTAAGGTTTAAGTTTGTAAATCATGAGTTTCTCTGGCTTGTGTGTTGTGTTCCAAAGGGGGGAGGAAAATGCTTGGCTCAGGGGGGTTGAGGAAAGCAGAGGTGGCAGAGTTTTACCACCCCCAGGAAGGAACCCCATATATTTACAACCTGTGCAAGGGGTTGAGGATTTTGCATGGTGGGTGGCAGCAAAGTTCAAGAGAATTCGTCCCATGTGCTCAAATTGGCAGGTTTCCCCTTTTCTGCCTGTTTTTTTGCAGAGATCCATTCCTTAACTCAGAAAGGATTGGTGGCTGAAGCAGTTAAAAATCCCTCTGGATTGCTGGGGGGGGAACTGCAGCCCTGCCCAGGTCCTGGGAGAGCAACCCAGGCAGTCACCGGTAACTGGTGCGGGACTGACCGGTTAAACTGGGTTTGTAGCCAAGCCTTAGGAGCCAGTGAATAGCTGTGGGGAGCAGCTGCAAGCTGAGCTCTGCTCTGGGTGGGTCTGTGTGGCTCCTACAGAAATGTGCAGTTTAGCCCAGGTGGGAGTTACCCCCAGCCAAGCCAGCTTGGCACACCAGGACTAACTTAAACCCTGTTTTACTTGGGGTTAACTTCTCCTCCCCGGTTTAAGGAAGGAGTTACAGATGTTACTGGACAGTTCAGAGCACAGCTCAGGTAAATCCTGCCTCTGCAGCTCTGATTGTGAACAGGCAAGTTCCCTGCACTTTTAGTAGGTGGAATTTCTGCAAGTCGGTTTTGTAACAAATCTGGTTTGTAAGAATTCTGCTGAGCACCGTTTACAGCCTCTCAGCCGCGCTGGAAAACTGAGTGCCAATGGGACAGGTTGGAAGAGAGGGAACAGAAGGATTTTATCTCCATCAGTCGTGTTTGTGGAGTCAGGGGGAGTGTCAGAGGGGCTGACATGAGTTTTTATACTGCACAATCCTTTCAGAGACACCACTGTGGAGTTCTCAGGAACGAGGGAGAAGGGGATTTGGATCCTGACACCAGGTGTGGCCCCTGGTTGAGACGGGAGCTCTGACAGCTCTCCCCAACCCAAACGTGGCCTGTGCTGTAACACTCATTTACACTCAAATATGACAGTATTCATAGAGAAACATTTAAGTCAATTTTATTTGAAGCTAAATATGTTTAAGGCAATTTACATACCTAGAACATGATCTCAATTGAACTGGCACACCCTACCACAATCCTAACGTATCATCTGCTCGAATCTGCTGGAGTTGACCACAGTGCAGCCAACTGGTGAAAAGTGCTATTTTTTTTCTTCTCTCTCTGCCATCACCTTTCTCTAGAAAAAGCGTTACATATTTTCCTGTATTGCCCCCTCAGTGCAAGACCCCACTACTGGTCCCCATTGCTGCTCCTCCACTGGCCCCTCAGAGCCCTGCCTGCCTTGCCCCACACCAGCAGCACTGGAAATACTTGGGTTGAGTTGGAAGGTCCTTTTTTTTAAAGACAGTAAAGTAGAAGCTACCACTGTGCAGCATGTCCACAGTCCAGTAATTTATTTTTTAAATCGCGTCATTTCAAATTGCACAAACAAAACTGAACAGCAATATGCTTTGAATTCTCTCTTCTGTACACTCAAAACAGTGATCTAAAACACCACAATATCCAACATACACAAACCTCAGGGCAGGGTTAGTAAATACACAGATTGGAATCATGGTGCTCTGTTCCTGAATGGAATGTCCCACAAAAGCACAGGATACAGCACAACGTAAGGTCATCTGTTACATATGGAGTGAGCAAAAAGACACTAGCATTGTTCTATATGCATAACTGGAAAAAACCTGCATAGGTTAAAGGAAAAAAAAACCAAAAAACAAAAAAACAAAACAAACAAAAAAAACCCAAAATTTTTTTTTACTCATTTGAAGTCAGGCAAGGTTGTCTGTACGCATTGTAAATTCTTTTAGAGCTATGCAATCCAACCCAGGGAGGATATGCTGATTAGTGTTGTCTCTTGTCAGCAGTCTTGCAAGGTCAAATACGAGCATCTTGGCTTTAGCTTTCTCCAAATATACAGTGAGACTTAAAATGCATTTAGAATAGACAGTACATACTGTAAAGCTGCTCACATACAATGAACTTAAGATTCAATATTAGAGTGTAACACTATAGAGTGCAAATCAGGATCTTCACAATAGACTTAATGGTAATAAGCAGTCCTGCAAAAGCCCACTTGAACAAAGTCGCTTTTTAAACCATTCCCCCTCTGAAAGTAAAAGTCTAAATGACATGGAATGTGAAAAAAAAAAAAAAAAATTTTAAACAGAAGTGATTCAAATCGTCGGCGCTAGAAAAAACCAGTCCTTCATGAAATCAAGGTTACGAGAACACGAGGCAGAACTCTTTGCTTTTCCCTGTTATGAGTTAAAGCGGGGAGGGACGGTGGAGTTTCAGTAAGAAAAGACGCTGCTCCCGAGCGAGCTGAGCTGCAGCTCACATGCTGTACCCGAAGCCAGGCTGGGGCTGCCCGTAGGGAGGGGCGGTGTAGCCGTAGCCAAAAGGTGCTTGTGGAGGAACTGCCACGCTGGGTCCCGCTGTCAGCATGAGCTGGGGCTGGCCTGCAACACAGAACGGCAGTGTCAGAGCCCTGCGCTCAGCAAACCTCCTGCAACCACCTGGGGGGTGTGGGTGGGCAACAGGGAGGCCCTGTAGTGGAATAACCTGGACACAAAGACGATACCCATGATGGACAAGAGCCAAAACAATGCCCTGCTGGAAGGCTGGGACAGCACAGCTCCTGCACACCCTCCCTGAATGAGCCAGGACAAGCTGAGGTCCTGCAGGCCCCCAGCCCACCTCAGCAGCCACAGCTTCAGAGGGGCACTGCATCTAATATTGTGGAACACGTTCCCTAAGACTTGATTTTTCATGAAGAACATTCCAGTTTCCGAGGATTTCCCTGGGAAAAGCCAAGATTAGAGAAGTGTCGTTTTAAGAGCAATTACCATAAACGATAGGTTGTGTTTCTGTAGCTTGCTCCTCTTCCTTTCTCAAAGACTCCGAGGCATCCAGTTTATCCACCTGGAATTGAGACCAACAATTAAAAAAAATGTCTTCTAAAACAGGCACTTACTTGTGGCAGAGAAGTGGAAAAGCCTTAGTGGTATGTTAACACCCATCCAGAAAAGGAGACCATTTACAAGTTAAGATCAATTCAAGTAGCAATGTTGGTACTGGTGCAGTCAAGGTTCTGTTTCCTGAGGAAAGCCCTCCTCGAGGCATTTGTGTAAATGCTTTGTAAGCTCCCTCCAGGCCCAGGCTCTGGATGGCACTGGAGCTACTTGGGACAGCAGGAATTGGCTCCTCAGGGTCGCTCCTGCTACTTCAAACCAACAGCCTTTAGGACAAACTGGGATTTGAGCACAGTCTCAGTTGGAGACCTTTGGCGCTGGAGCAGGAGAAGGTTCCCTGAAGGCTGAGGTACAATAATCTGATTTAGGTACAGCAGACTGCAATAGCATCCGACATGTCACTTGAGCCTCAAGATTTCACTTTCCAAACCCATTCACTCATGCAATTTAAGTTCAAATGCAGAGAATGCATGTGTATAAGACTTGCTTTTTCCACTCCAGAACTGTGTGGCAGTCAGCCTAAACCCCCAGATACTCCAATTCTTCCAGCTGAACACACAGTAAGGACACAAGCCTGGCCAGCTCCAGTGCTGCACAGCGAGTGCACTCGTGCTCTCAGCCCACCCCTACAGAAAGGCAAGAGAAGAGACTTATTCTGCAGTGAAATATAGCTTGTTACTAAAACAGATCCGAGGGAACCCAGCATTTCTACACCCTAAGGCAGGCCCTGAAACTAAAACCACAAAACGAGGCACTGGTATTTTACCTGGGAGATGAGATTTAAAGTCAATCACGCCAATGGCTTTTAAAGACAGTAAGACAACTCTCAAACCAGATTCACCTTTCATTTCATTCGTGTCCTTCATAAAGGAGTTTGAAGACAGGTTTCCTGCACTTACACAGGGGCAGTGTTACTTATTCAGCTGCACCAACACCCTGCAGATGACCAGTTTCCCGTTTAACTGTGCTGCATTAACGAGTCTCTGGGAGCTGGGACTCTTCCTCTCAGTTGTGTTCCACAAAGCTGTTAACCCATAACCTCCAGCTGAGCCACAAACCCGGGAGGTGGCACAAGTGCTGAGCTCTGAAGTTCCCTCCCTGACTGGGCTTTCATGGTCGGTTTCATCACCCCAGGATCTGCTTTGCTGCTGCCCAAGGGCCCAGCATGGGGTGCCAGCAATCCCAGACTCATCCCAGCCCCTGTGCTGAGAACTGCACTGTCTTCAACTCAAACAGCAACACACTGAACACAGAAGCACAAGTTCAGAGAGATGCAAATCCAAGGAGGAATGTGCAGAGGTTGCCACTAAGCAGAGGCATTTGGCTTCCACACACTCGGAAAGCCTCCAGCCCGGGACATTCAATGCATTTCTGACCCAGTTTTGATGCCTCCCCTCGATCGACAGTAACAAGCGCGAGTTTGGAACCGGCCCCCAGGGTGGCCCTTACACACCCCTTGCTCGAGCATCACCAGGTTCAGGGCCCTTACACAACTTGTAGCAAGATTGATTTCAAGGCTTTTCCACAGGGACTGCAAGAAGCTGCAGAGGAAAAGTAACATGCATTCAATGTTCTCGTGTCACGTGTGCATGAGGAAGAGGCGAGAGGACTGAAGCACGAGTGAGGGCTGAAGATGACTGCCAGACAGGCTCCCCCCAGAAAACCACAGCAGCCCACAGCAATGCCTTGGAGCTTAAGGAAGAGTGGGATGTAATTGCAATGACCGCTACACATGCTCAGGTTATGCAAACACTGCAGTTCAAGGACCTTTTTTTCACACACACGCTCTCCCAGCGCCTCACTGACTACTGCTGAAGGGCCTCACGCTACTGCTGGTCAGGTCAGCCCTGAGTGCCAGGGGGGAATTTGCAACACTTTGCATTCAGTTCACCTTCAAAGCCGTTTGTCACTTTGTCTGAACCACATTAA